CCGGGGTATTGAAACCGAAATTGTCATCTAAGCGTTAGGCCGTCGCTGATTGGCTGCTGAGCTGGAATGCCAATTTTTAGTTTTAAATACCCCGGCTTAGTGTTCTAGGTTCTTCACGTAATTAGGTGCTCGTATGCAAGGGATTGGGGTGCCGTTGTAAATTGGATATTTAGGTAACATTTACTAGTATACTACGACGTTCTATGTAGATACACATTTTGGGTCGCGGTATTCAATGCAGTGGCATTATTTTTAGGTTGCAGTATTTAATGTAGAGGTAATATTTAGGCCGGGTATTCAGGCCACCGTTTTCAATAGATATCCGTCATTCAGGTTACGGAACTCGGTACAGAAGCATAGAAGTAACATTTAGGTTACGATTTGTAATGACCATGGTGGCATCATTTATGCAATGAGGTTAAATGTCGAGGTATCTTTTACAGTTACAGGATTTAGTGTAGAAGTAGCATTTATGAGATGATAGTCAATGTGAAAGTACATTTAGTATTCAATGTACAGGTACTATTCAGATTCAATGTAGAGACGTTATTCTTTAGGTTACGATATTCAGTGAATCATTCACGCTATGAATCATATAAATCACCGTATTCCAGGAATTAATTATAATTCAAAGAATACATTTAAGTTTCAGTATGCAACGAATACATTTACAGTGTTTAACAAATAATTGAGAATTCGGTGTTCAATGATTAAGTCAATGATCTTCATCGCGATACGCAATGAACCGTTTAGCCTCAATGTATTCAAAGAATTATTAATGTTTTGATAGTCAATAAAACACTTGGTTTACACGTTCTCACATATTATAACACATATTAATTATATGAGTAATAAAAGAAAATTACAATAACAACTGAAGAGTATCTAAAGAAAGTTGAAAGAGCAAAGAAAATACAAAGATTTTATTGTTATGGTATGGCTTATCCAGAACCAGAATACTGTAGAAGATGAACATACATCACAAAACATGAATGGAGCTTCATGGAATCTGGAATCTAGAGGACAAAAGAGGCCATTAGATGCTGTTTATAATGATGAAAAGTGCCTGGAATAGAATCTAAGAAAAGATGCATCAGTGATGACATTGTCATGAATTCAATACAATGACATCTCATTAAGGTTTCATGAAAGTCTTATCACTACCTATTACTATACAAGGTCATATGTGAATGGAAAGGAAAAATACGGTACAGACCGAATATATGTCATGAATGTGATATTACTATATGTGAAACGCGGAGTTTATGCACGGGACTCCATGGGTAAAAAGTAAAACACGTTCAATTAAGAAAACTTTTTCGATCATTTGAAACGAAACAAAACAATTTGTCTACATTTTGTCTACAACAACATTTTGAAAAAACATAAACAATGAGAGGGGTATAGACATAAGATACAACCATTAAAACTAATAGCTATATTATTTATAATTATGATTTGGGAAGATTTCTTTACTATATCTACTCAGCACACACACATATATTTAATTACAGAAAAAAATGCTAACAATTGAGAGAGTCAATGTTTTAGTGAATTGAGATGCGGTGTATGTTGTCAAAACACTTACTAATTTTCCTTTTATGGTTTTAATTTACAAATTGAAGGCCATCGGCCCATAAAAGTATTTACATGTACAAGAAGAATATTTAAATAAAATCACATATCTCGTTCCTCAGTTTCAATGCATGAAAAATGTATGCAGCCAATGGTTTTACAATGTCAGAATTTCTATGAATTTATCAAAAGACGGGATATTATAAAATGTAGTGGGTAGGTACGAGGTTTGCAATTCATGGTAATATGGGCAACAAGGAGAAAATGGAACTCGTTTCCAATTTCATCTATGTCACAAAGAGAGCAAATACGTTCGTTCGTCTCTCTCAATTACACCACGATCTCTTTCAATGCGAAGGCAGTGAGAAGAACATCGAAACCGTGCAAGAGCTACTGTATGGAAATAAATTACAACAGATTTTAAGTATTTTTCCGGCTGCAATGTAACCTTAAATTCCAGATATGTAACCAGTTTTGCTAAGGAAAAAATATCAGTAAGCCACTCAAAATGTAGACATTTCTTAAAATGACATGAAAATACGCTTACAAATTCCTGAATATTGCCAACTTTCTGCGAATACCAAACATTTTATAATTTACATAAAAACAATAGTTTCCTTATGTCTGCCACCCAGGTAGGTTTCGCCCTCACCCCCGATTTGTTTATGTTATATAACATGTTGTAGCATGTACGTGGGTTTCTGTTATTTGACATATTGATGATCTGAAAGTTTTGATACGATACATTAGCTACGTTCACGTTACAGTATCTAAGCACGTGGCGAAAACTTTTATGTTTAGAGAGTGATTGCGTCCAGACTTAGTCGGCTCACTCGGCTCCTTACAAAATCACCTAACATTCACATATGATGATACTAATAATTACTTTATTGAAATCCGAACTATTTACTATTATGGTATTTTTTATGAGTCATCGTGCACATAAACGGCAAAGAAGAGTTGACTTAGGTTGGTAACGAATATACTTAAGTTTAATTACAAATATATTAGTTACAGAAATTAGTACATGTGAACAAAACTACATTATATAGGCATATTACGCCTAAAACCAAAGGCGGCCTCCAATGTAAGCATGGGTTCTGACAGAGAGGTATAACGGTATACTCTGTGATAAAGACCCTCGATTGTCAGCATTTTGTAGAACAGAAAGATACCGCCTATCAATTGAAGACATATAGAATGTCAAACTGTTATTAAAACACCACAAGGGATTACCCATACTTTTTGGATCTGGGTAACCACTCGAACTATATAGGTTACATTTCCGGACACTTTGAAATATTTTTTCGGGCTCCACCTAATAAATTGAATTCAAAGCAAAAATGATTGTTGGCTAAAATTACACAGTGTAATACCAGCTGACGGATTTTGGGGAAATAAATGATGAGGTTTTAAATCAGGGAAAACAAATCTACAGGCTCAATAATACGACAAATAATTTCTCTTTCAACTGAAGTTAAAAGAAAAAAAAAACTTATTGAAAAAAATATTACTTTCAGGAAAAAATCTATGCAATTGACAAATCTATTCAAGGTACACCTCTCAGAAGTATCCTAGAGCGCCGCCAGCTAAGGCGTAATAGCAACTTGACCGTTGAGGGCTCTAATCAATGATGTAATTCACCAATTAAAAGACTATAGGATAGATATGAGGTAATAGTAGTTACGATTTGAACAAAATGCTGTTATAATCTCAATTAAGAAAATCATTAATTAATGTTCGCCCCATCCCACTGCACATGACAGGGTAATTGAACGTATTTCATAATTACGTGTCTTACAAATACAAATTTATTTATTTAGTTTATTTCAACAGTACTACATTTTAGACCATATAAACTGAATGAATTCTAACTTCATACTGTTTTAGTGGTGTGAGTTTAACTCAAATACCTACGAATCAATGACTATAGTCTGAATAAATCACTCGACAATTCACGAGAATCGCCTGAAAATGTTTCGACACTAAGCTATGTCGCAGTAACGACAAGGGTTACAATGTAACGGTTCGTAGATGTTTGTATTTCACACTCACCGAGTATTCATAATATTACATAATTGCGAAAACGTTTATAAGTTATTTAATGCGACCTCGGCTCGTACGGCTAAATTGAACCAATCAAGTGTGCAACTGGCCATGTACATGTTCTGAAATTTGGAAAGAGTATGTTGGATAAATATAACACTCATCTATGCCTACTTTGGGAAACCAGGCTAATGGTACTTTTTGATATTATTCAAGGTGAGCGATCGGTATATCATGAATTTGGTCAGTTCCAACTTGAACGCAAATCAAAAACAATCTTTGGCGGATATTTGTATAAAAAATAACTTATTACAAAATATTATTATTATTATTATTATTATTATTATTATTATTATTATTATTATTATTATTATTATTATTATTATTATTATTATTATTATTATTAAAATATTACAAATTGAAAACTGATTTTGGATACAGAAATTATGAAACATTCTCACTCGGGAATTATCCCGGGAATCGACGAATCATTGAAATTATCTTGAAGTCGAGTCAAAGTCACTCAAGTGGTACAGCATTGACAATTTACACAAAGTTAGGGAGCTGGAAAGGGTTACCAATATGGCCGACTGTGTACGTTTGACTTGGAATGAATCGAGGTGAAAACAACCTTGGAACAATCACCAAGTCGCTTCAGGTATGCATTTCTTCTAATATATAGTTACGTTATTTTTACTTGTGAGTAGTGATGAAATATCTTATTATTAGGTTGCTATAGTGACACTGATTTGCACGAAACCATCTGACGAGTACTGTATAGTATAGTATAGTTATGAACAAATTGAAATGGGTTTCTATTGTTTAGCTGCGTCTCGGAGTACGTTTAGAATTTCACGGGTCATGTCTCTTGTTTTCATGACCAGTACTGGTAAGAAGGATTAGTCCAGCTTTCTGAAGTAAACAACCTTGAGTGAAAGATAGGAATTCGCTGTTACGCAGAACCTCAAACTTGAAAATAATGACTGAGTTTGTTTCAGGATCCCCTCTACTAGTCGGTCACCAGCTGATGTTGTCAACTCCCACATGTTGTGTTTACCCGGGGTGTGTTCACTCTGTATTCAGCCTTTGGCCTTGAAGTGAAATCATCATAATTGGTATCACTGCTCTAATTGTTTAGTTAGTTACAGATTTTCGCGTGGATAGTAAACTGACTTACTATCAACATTTTGTTGATCTTGTTATACTTAGTAATTAGTCACCTGCTTGTAAATACAGGAAGCAACATCATAATTAATATTGATATTCTTAGACAAAAATTGTAATTGAATAATTTCTGAAAATAAGTAGAGAATGACCAGAGCTACAAAGCTCCCTGGTATGACTCACTTGTTTTTCTTTTATGATTCTTTGACCTAAGCTTTCAAATGACCCTGATTTGTAGCCGTAGGTATTGTTCTAAAAAGTGGTATGATGTTGTATTATGTTTACAGAACAACACTTCAACCACAAAACGTCTATTGGACAGCTGATAACAATGTAGTTTGAATTGAAAGGTAACAATTTTATTGGTAGTTGTTAGAAGGGCAAAGTTCATATTGAGGAACATGTCTAGTTTAATACCTTCACCTCAAAGCATAACCCTTTGAATCAAGCATGTCATTTGTTGGAGTAGAAATTTTTAATTTACTTTCTGTTTTGATTTTGCATACATTGTTGACATGCATGTCACATATCCTAGTATTTACTAGGGGGTATTACTGCACTATAAAAGCAATCATTTCCAATAAAATGTACCAAAACAAAGTCGAATATGAAAAATACTTAGTCAGCATACAGAGAACTGTACTTATACAAAGCAGATAAACTTGTTAACAATTTCAAAACCAGTATTGACAGTGATAGATTTGTTTTCAGCATTCATTACCCATAGCTTAATTCAGGTCAGTTTTGACACAAGACAGCAAGGCCAACTTAAACATAAGGATTTCTTTTTATTTTATATTTTTGCTTTGCTTTTATTTTGTTTTGTATTTTTTTATTATTATCTATATTACCCATATTACTGTGTATAGCAAATTTTGCTATGTTTTATAACTTTACTGACAATTACTTGCATTTTTGAGGAAAAATCCTGTAGAAATAATTATTTTAATGCTCACATAGATTTAATTTGGTGGATTTCAGTTATTAGCAAAATTAAAACCAAGCTAATAAATAATGTGTTTATACTTAGAACATTAACGTTTTAGTAAAACCAAGAAAAACAAAATTCTTTGAGTGGTCTGAGATTGACAGTAATTGAAAAATTCTTGCCAGTGAATTGGTACCCCCCCCCCCGAAATTACATGGATTTGTGACCTTTTGATGAATACAACGTTCCACATATTGGAAGAGTACAAATGTGTACTTTTTATACATGTAGTATATGATATTCTCTCCAATAATTTATTGAGTGAGTGAATACATGTATATTTTAGCTTCATGGTTTATGAATTTTCAGTGCAAGATGCTCGTTTCAGTTTTCTGGGCCTAGTCAGGCAGTCTGTCATCTGTGCACTGAATGACATATAGATTGGTTTTACCACTAGCCAAGATTAACAAGATTTGATCCAATTGATGCCAGTTGAGCAGCAGTAGATGAATGTACAATTATACTGGTGAGATTGTATTATTCTGAGATTCAAACTTGTTTAGACTTAAATTTGCAATGAGGGGAAAATTTATTACGTGGGTGAGTTTGGAAAATATTTTTATTAGATAAATTCTCCGGAGCGAATTCGGTAATTCCTGTATGCATTATTAATTCAACTCTAAAATGTGTAATATTAAATGACAATCCAATCTACTGTATATGTCTAGTATATATATAGTAATGTGATTGAGAAGTGTGTTCAGTGCTGCATGGATTGTTGGTAAAGCAAATATTGTTGTCTCATTCCATATATTTCTCTGTTGAATCAAATTGCTAGTTTTATTGTTCTGACTGTTGGCATCAATTTACTGTGAATAATAATCACACATCAAGTAATGTTAAATACTGTATCATTCTGTAAGATATGGGGTTGCCAATTAAGGGGAGGGGGAAATTATAGATTTAGAAAATAATACCTGCAAAGCAAACAATTTTATTAAATTAATTAATTTTATTAAATTTTTATTAAAATAAATATTTGGTAGCTAAGAAATTCTACATCCTGAAAAAAAAACAATCTAGGAATGAGGAATAAAATAATTTGCATAGTTTTTTTACAATCTTCTCATGCAGAGTTTTAAATAGTCATTCTGTATTTATGGAAATTATTTTCTCCACCCATTTAGTTTTCTTTCAGTAACTGGCTTTTAGCTTGTAGGTTTTTAATTGATCAGTTTTCTCAATCAAATGAGCAACAAGCTTTTGAAACTTATTTAAAAATAAGCTTTATAATAAAAAAAAGTGTAGTAGAGAATAACAAATGAAAAAAGGAATATGGTTATTTAAAATGGATGTCACCAAGCTGTCTAAGCTGTCACATGTGCATTTATTGTGAACCTCATTTGATTCACTGGAAAAAATATGCATTTTCTTTACAAGTATGCATTCCCCACAGAAATAGAAAATTAAAATTCTCACTCATTTTGTATATGAATTAATTTTTATAGTATGAATATATTTTTATAAAAATTCAACAAAATAATAATCATTGTCAAATTTACCTGCTGATATTTAGTGTTAAGAGCTACTAGGGCAGAGCTCCAGAAGGAGTACCTACACTTTATGCAATTTTTTTTTAAAATTATGCTAATTTATTCATGACGTAGCAGTTTCTGTGCTCATGAATATTCATTAATTTGTGGGTCAATACATTTTAAAAGGGGCGATATATTATTTTTGGGGGAAGAGTTAGAAAGGGGGATTAGCAATCCTTAGGGGGTCAATACAAAAGAAGGGACCCATTTGATTGTTGCACGTGACCTGCAGCTGTCAACTGTGTTCGTACTTCGACGACTTCCATGTGAGGTAGTTCCTTGTGTTCTGTTTTTCTGACTTGAGTTCTTGATATACAGAAGTTGCCGTTTATGTTTCTTTTTCTTTCATATCTTGTCTTGTAGGAGTGTCCTGTCTGTGATTCGAACTTGCAATCTTTGAGTTCCCAGCGCACTGTCTTGTCCATTGTACCACCAGTGTCTTCACACAAATGATAGGATTTAAGGTATAGATGCATGTTCGTGGGCACTAGGAGTGAAATTTTTTCTTTGCTTTTTCTTACCCAGACAGTCTTGGCTAGATGGTGTTAACATTTTGGAGTATTGTCAATGCTGGAACATACTCAAAAATCGATTTTAAAATATAGGGAACCGAGGCACGCGTATGGGATTAAAAGTTCCGAAATTTTGTTTACGTTGCTCTTTGACTGACAAGTCACTGTTGATGTTATATGTAAATGAGTTGATGGCCTCAGTTACGGTGCGGCGATGTGTTACTTCCTGTCCGCGACCCAGTTTAACTTACCTCAAGCGCTAACAACTAGTCTCGCAAACTCAAAAAAAACACAGACAAGACGTAGACGCTTCCAGCATGCAAGCGGAATACAAAAAACATACAGTTGTAAATGATAAGTAAACTTGTTCACGCTTATCTCACAACATGTCGACAACTTCTAGCCATGCATCTTCCAGTGGTGTACTGTTTTTTTTCACGCATTTTTTTCTCCGAAGGCATTATAAAACTGACTAATTATACATTTTTCGTTTCGCTGAACAATCACCGTACTAATAGCATTGCGATGCAATGG